TAAATTATAAACTTAATCAATTTTTCACATTGAAAATTTTTGTTATCAATGATTTTAATATCTTAGTTCTTTTTTTAATTTTATATTTTTAAAAGATATTAACAATTGATAATATGGTTATTTTTGGTATATACCATCCAAACCGAATGGATGTGATTTTATAAAAACCATAGGATTTGAATATGGTTTGATTTATAACTGATTAAACTGAAACATGTAAATATGTATATATTTATAACGACGCATGAATATCTATTTGTTACATGAGCTGAACTATAATTATAATTTGTAAATAGCTAACAATTTATTACAACTAAGACTTCTTATTCTGATCTTTTGCTTTTTTAACAGTAACTAAATTGAAGTAAAGATTTTAAATTTGATGGACAACAATTAGTTGAAATTCATTACAACTTTTTTTTTATCTTTAAACAAACAGAGTTGTGTTCAATCGAAGACATATTGGTTTGATGAACACTAAATATGGAAGAATATAAAAACTTTTCTTTTATGCTTCTGTTTTGTTTTTTATTTTTATTTTCAAAATTTAGTGTTTTGATATTAATTCTAGATTTGATCATTTTATTAGATGATAGAAACCTTTTTTGTTTTTTATTCTTTTATTTAAATATATAATATTTTTTTAATAAATGACTCTGTGACAATATGACTCTAAATATGATCATATTATATATTTGTATAATATATAATATGATCTAAAACTAAATAATTATGTTTTTTTGGTATAAAATTGAATAAACTGAAAACCGATGGTATATAAACCAAATCAAACTGAAGTACATATAGATTTAGAATAGTAGTTATATTTTAATGATCGAAATACCAAAAAATCGAGCCAAACCGAAATCCGATATCCGAATTGAAGACCTCTAATCCGAATGAAACCGAACTATTGTTTCATTTTTAAAAACATAATAAAAATAATAGCTTCATACCGCGCAAGGCGCGGGTCTTATCCTAGTATGTTAGTAAAGTAAAAGAAAAAAACGACGACTCTACTAAACGGTTACGCTTCGTTTCACGCAAACAGTTTACAGTTACGCTTCGTTTCAGACAACTTGGGGTTGTCTTTTGAAAGATACTAGTATTTCCACCGGTGCATAGCAGTCAGTATATTATTTCTAAATTTTATTTGATTATATGTTATATTCTTTTCCATTTTAGAATAATCCATGTTTAAAAAAAAATTGTTTCTAAAAATCCATATTTTACATTTTTAATATATGTAATAATGACAAATTTTAAATTTTAAAACATAAATAATGTTCTACTGAATTTTGATTGGTTAAAAATATAAAAAATCACAATATAAAAATAAATAATGTATTTAATGTCAAAGTTTTACATGTTTTTTTTAATAAAACGTAAAAAATTTAGAATATACATTATTTTGAACATGAGGGAAAAGTTTTCAATCAAACTATTATTATTTGTTATCAAATATTCTATGAGCAGTGGCACATAATATTAGAAATGCATGTATTGAAACAAAGCTGTTGAAATGGGTAAGACAATAATTATAAAATTATTTTTTAAATGGATATGTTTGCAATATTCGTCAAAATAATCATTATATATATATAGCAAACTATAAAATTCAGCTTAATATAAGGTATGTGATCCATTACCCTTATTTGTCGTTGATTTAATAATACATATACTTAGTTTAACATACTGTGAATCTTAAAATGTTTTGCATGTAATAAATGTACTATTTTAAATAGTTTATTATCTTATACCGTTTAAAATAATGATATTACTGAGATTTCATGTTAAATATCCATACATTTTTTATTTAAAAGCACACACTTAAATAAAATTTACTAAGATTACTTATTTTGATAATTTGTTGAATTTTTAACATCAAAAACCCCAATTTTGTTAGTTTTTATTTTTGAAAAAACTGTTTTCTTAAATACTAGTATATAAGGCTTTTCAAGAATATTATTGGTTTTATCAAAACATATTTTTAATGCTTTGGATAGTTGTTAAAAATGATCAGTAAAAAACTCATTTTTTCAAAATTAAATACAGTATAATTTTTAAAAATTGAATTATCTCAGGATTTTTCTTAAAACACTTTTACAACCTTACATGATCAAAAATAATTAAAAGAATTCAAGATTTAAGAACCTGCTTTTTTGTAAAGACTATAACGAAGATAACTTATTTTCACAAGAATTCAAAATAGTCAAACGCTTTACATCTTACCTTCCTAATACATTCGTTCATCAGCTTTTATTCTTCTTCAAAATCAGTTTGATTTTCCGTAACATGCCTGTAGAAAATTTAAAATAGTTTTAAAACTGTACCATACAAATATATATGCTATATTATTACTCTGATTTTTGCAGAATAAATGTCATATGAACGTCTTACACATCACCATGAATACCTACAATTAAATCTTCAAGGTTACATGAATCTCTTAAAAATCACTGTAACTGTATCAATCTTTTCCCTACATGAATTTAAACTCGAACGACACAATCCAATGTTGATGTAAGATGTCCGCCCTGAAGTAGTAGATGACGTAGTTGCCGAAGCAGACATCATGTTGAATGGTGAAAACCATGTGAAATCAAGATGCTGAGTTGGAGTCGTGTAGACTTGGAAAGCAAGGGTGTATCTTGGAGAAAATGCAAGAGGAATAAACTTGGGAAGCAAGTTTATGACTTAAGGGAAGAAGAATAAGTGCATTCCAAAAAAAGGAAAGTTGCACCTAATGTTATGGAAGATGTCCATATTGTGTTCCTTGGAGACTATGGTTTCGGGAACGTGGAGAATAAGTATAAGATAGCTATGGGGTCGTCTGTAGAGAGACAGAGACACAGAGGCTGATATTATAATATATAGAGAGAGAAACTCTTAGAAGTGTTCTTGGGTCGTGCTGAAGCAGTTGCTGAAGTACTTGACGACAGAGACACACAAGTGAGTAGCTTAGGAATCTTTCAGTGACGTGTGTTAGGGTGTTAACACTAGACGTGTAAAGCTGAATAAACAAGGTCTTGTAAGACTGTTTAAAGGAGATTTCTAGTAAAGATGTTGGTTTTGTCTCTTGGTTTATCTTCTGCATTACTATATTGTGGTGTCATCTTTGCACTTACAATTGGTATAAGAGCTAGGCACCTAAATTATCGGTGTAATCCTGAAGGTGAAGATGGACACAATTATTTTGGTGAAGATGGAAATCTTGTTGAACGTGGACCAGTATGCTCATTGGAAGGCTCACATGAAGCATATGATTCGAGGAATCAATGAAGATGCGTGGACAGCTGTGGAGAGTGGTTGGGAGGAGCCGACCAGAGTCACATGAGATGAGAAGAAGCCCAAACCGAAAGAAGATTGTTCAGAGGCAGAGCGCAATGCATCAAAATTTAATGCAAAGACGTTGTCGATGATTTTTGGAGCTGTTGAAGCAGAACAGTTTCAGCTGATTCAGGGGAGTACTTCAACTAAAGAGGTGTGAGAGATTCTGCTGAATTCGTTTGAGGGAGATGAGAGTGTCAAGAGGACACGCCTAGATCATCTTGGATCGCAGTATGAGAATCTCAGATGGTCAGATGTTGATTCTATGGCGAGCTTCAATGCCAAACTCAGTGCTATGGCACATGAAGCATTTGTACTTGGGAAGAAGTACAAGGAGAAAAAGCTGGTAAAAAAGTTACTACGCTTTCTTCCAAAAAAGTTTGAAGCTCACAAGGCGGTCTTGCAGATGACTACAAACACGGATGAGCTCAAGATTGATAAGCTTGTGGGTATGCTGAAGGTACAAGAGATGGATACAGATAGTAGTTCAGTCTCTACGTCAACTAGTGCGCTAGGGAGTATTGCAGCTGACAAAGATGGTGATAGATTCCAGAAGCTTGAAGATACTGTGGGTATGTTGGCTAGGAATTTTGGTAGGACGAGTCACTTTGGTGGGAGGAATCAGTATGGTCGTCAAGGAGGTGATCTTGGCAATGGTAGAAGAAGAGACGCTATCAAGTGCTACGAGTGTGAAGGAGTTGGCCATGTG